TTATCTGTGAGTTCTTTCCATATTTATACGAGAATTACAGAATCAGTCTCGGATTCCTTCACATAAAAATGGAACTTGTTTTGATCTATAACATAGGAAACTTTGAGAAAAATCTAATTCCTTCATATTACCAGCTGTTACCATGATACCAGTTTTGTTTAGATACAGATTTGCAACCATCATCTATTTAGCTGTGAAATAAATAGTTTATGTTCATTTGAATAAAATTTGAGCTTCCAGTAAATTTAAGCTTGTTCGTTTTTGGTGCTTTCCCTCTCTCTTCCTAGAGTTGTACAACATTCCAGAGATACCCCTATTCCATTTAAAATAAATTTCTGTATGTCTTCATAGAATGTTCTACCATTCTGTCTTGATAAAAACATGGATCTCCTTGAAGGATACAACTTTCTTCCTATTTCTCTTGAGTAGATACTACACATTCTTCCATGCATCACACTACACAGTTTTCTTTTGGTACATCTGGCTGTATTCCACTCTTCATTTCAATACATAGCTTTTATCTATCTATTTTTAGGTCATTTTCCATTGTGGCACTTACAGTGAGCAGCCCCACATATGCCAGCGTTTTGAGGGACAAAATCTAAATGGATATTCAATACTAGAGTTTCATAAGTCTTTGACTTCATATCTGTTGGCCCTTACCTCCTCTCAATTCCAACCATCCACTTCTAAGACAATGTCTCTAACACTGTCATTGCTCAGGACTGAGTACTTCACCTATGACATCTTACACAGCAGTATTTCTACTTTCTGATTACAACCTTCTTTCCTTTCTTAAATTTTCTTATTCATTTACACTCTATGATCTTTTAAAAATGTATGGTTTCTGGATTCTTCTGTTTTATTTCAATATATCTGTCCCTTCAACTTTATTTCCTGCCCTCTTTAGCCTAACTTATCATCCACCATTTCATCACTCTGTTGCTAGTCTCTCAACTTCTCTGTTCTTTGTCATTTTAGTCCTGCAAATCCATAATCCTGAATCTTTTCACTCCTTTGCCTTGTGTGCTGCTACAGTTGAATGTGTTAAAGAAACAAATATATGGCATCCATCTCCAGCTAAGTCCTCAAGATTGCTTGACTTTGTTCTTTCCCTTGTCCTTATTCAGTTCTCTCTCCCATTCCCCTCAGTAGCTACCTTAAATCTTTATCATTCCTTTCAAAGGGTCCTGCCCTCTCACTTCCAGAAGACTACAGCGACTCCTACTTTACAGAATAAAATAATGAAATCATTAATTGTGGACTGAAATTTATTTACATTCACTATTCCTCCTTCTTCACTCTTGTCTGTGAGCACAAGGTGATCATC